CAGCTCAACACCCTTGGCAGGGTTCTTGAAGGTCCATGGCAGTTCGCTCAATCAGTCTAAAGGTGCTTTGTGGACTTGGAGAAGGCGTTCAACTATGCCCCTCTTGGAGTTCTGTGGGGGGTGGTTCGAGAATATGGGGTACCGAACCCCACTATACCATCGATGTCAGAGTTTGGTTAGCATTCCCGGCAGTAAGTCAAATTCGTTTCCAGTGAGGGTTGGACTCTGTCGCGGTAGCCCTTTGTCACCGATTTTGTTCATAACCTTTATGGACAAAATATCTAGGCGCAGCCGAGGCATTGAGGGGGTCTCAGTATTGCAGCTCTGCTTTTTCCAGATGATGTGGTGCTGTTGGCTTCTTCAACAGGAATCTCGAACTCTGATGGGAGCAGTTTGCAGCCAAGTGTGAAGCAGTTGGGATGAAAATCAGAACTTCCAAAGCTTAGACCATGGTCCTCAGTCAGAAAAGGTTGGGTGCCCTCTCCAGGTTGGGGATTAGATCCTGCCCCAAGTGAAGGAGTTCAAGTATCTTGGGGTCTTGTTCACAAGGGAGGGTAGAATAGAGCGTGAGATCGGCAGGCGGATAGGTGCAGCGTCTGCGGTGATGCTGAGTTTCTATCCGACTATCACCAAAGGCGATGCTCTTGATTTACCAGTCCATCGACATTCCTTGGCTCACCTATGGTCACGAGCTGTGGGTCGTGACCGAAAGATCAAGATCCCGAATACAAGCGGCCAAAATGAGTTTCCTCAGCAAGGTGTCCGGGCTCTCCCTTGGAGATAAGGTGAGAAGCTCAGTCATCTGGGAGGGGCTCAGAGTCGAGCCGCTTCTCCTCCACGTTGAGAGGAGCCAGATGAGGTGGCTTGGGCATCTAATTAGGATGCCTCCTTAGTGAGGTGTTCCGGGCATGTGCCACCGGCAGGAGGCTCCGAGGACGACCCAGGACACGCTGCAGAGACTATGTTCCTCAGCTGGCCTGGGAATGGATTGGGATCGCCCAGGAAGAGCTGGAAGAAGTAGCTGGGGAGAGGGAAGTCTGGGCTTCCCTACTAAAGCTATTGCCCCCGTGACCAGACGCTAGATAAGCAGTAGAGAATGGATGAACGCCTGAAGATCTGGAAGATTGAGACTGGAGAGGTGTAAAGCACTGACAAAAACTAACAGATGCAACAAATTGGAACCAATGAATGATCCAAGTGTCATTGCATAACCTATTGAATATTGCAGGTTGCTCATTATTTCTCTTGCCCACATATTTCCTTAAAACAGATTGAAATTTGGACCTTCCAGTCATTCTTAACTTTCATAGCGACACCTCTTTCAACTCGGTCATTGTATTTACCAGGTTGGTGTGTGAGAATTGGAATTAAAATGCCATCATCTCTGAATTATGGCCATGATCATACCATGGAAACATTCTGTCAATGAATCTGAGGTCACTGCTATTGTTTCAGTATGTTAGTTTGCCCTGAACGTGTGTGTGTGTGTGTGTGTGTGTGTGTGTGTGTGTGTGTGTGTGTGTGTGTGTGTGTGTGTGTGTCCCATAATATGACATGACGAATGACAAACTTGTCTGATTTATCAATTTGTTAATCATCTCATAGTTCTTGTATACACTGACAGTTTCATACTTGGTGGGAGCAGATAAGCACACACACACACACACACACACACCCACACACACACACAAAATATATGCGTGTACGTACAATTGTGTGGACATGTCATTGACTAAATATGCGCTACAACGCGCTCAACTTTTGTTCCGAATCAGCTTCTTATTACTGGTTCCGACGCGACTCTCTTCTCATTCATTCCCGCAGCTTCACTGTGGACGCTGAGCGTCGACCGCGCGGAAGCTGGGCGTCTCGAGAGTTCAGTGTAGGTTGTCCCAATGCATTGAAACGAGACAAGTCATTGGATAAATGCTGGTTTTGTCCCGCCCATTGGACGATCAGCGTCTCTGGGAGTCTATGGACAGGGGGCGTTTATAGGCTGGCCAGGAAGCTCAGCTTTTCTGCATGGTGATTGGATGATCTGTCTGAGGCTGAATCTCTTTTTGATTGACAGCGAAAGGAGCCAATCACTGATCTTATGGTGAAGGCATCCTTTTCATTTTTTTGAAAAGGAACGGAGAGTAGAGTTCACGTATAAATGAACGGACACATTTTATGACGTAGGCCAAAATTGAGCTTCCCCTCCTTGACAGACCAACATCCGCCACTGATACAATGAAACCAAAGACCAAAAATTTGCAAAGATAAATTTGGCAAGCTGTACAGAGACGAGGTGCGTAGACTGTTCACGTCGGTCAGTGCCTTAGCCAATCAGGATGCAGAACACAATTCACTGTTTAAAAGCATTAAAAAAACTGCACTAAAAAAATCAGCGAAGCCGCGGAAAGTGAACCGCGTTAGAGTGAAAGATCACTGTGTACAGGGTGAAAAGAAGGGTACTCGGTAATCAGCCCTGAGGGGAGCCCGTGCTGAGACCAAGGAGAAGTGGGGGCCTATTTTCACCCTCTTGAAGCGGTTCGTCAGGAAATCTTAAGTCCAAAGGCAGATCAAGTGAGACACAATCAGGACTTGCAGCTCATTCATCAATCTGCTGGGGAGAATTGTAATAAACACTGAGCTGAAGTGCACTCAGAGTAGCCCAACATAGCTTCCCTGCTGCTCCAGGTGGGACAGTGCAGAGAAAAGCAAACTTGTGAGGGGAGCAGAAAGGAACTGATGTGAGTTCGGACCAATTTTTTAAAGCACTTCATGGAGATGGGTTTCAGTGCGATAGTCATTCAGTCCACTGATGCACTTCTTAGGGAGGGGGACAAAGATGGAGGACTGCAGGCAGGGAAGGACAGCCTGGCTTAGGGACTGGTTGAAAATGGTGGTGAAGATCTCACCCAGGTGATCACCACAGTCCCTCAGCACACGCCTCATCTGTTGCTCCTCCAGTGTCCATGTGTGGCTGGTCGGTGTACGACATCTGTCCCTGGTGGATGCACTTCAAAACGAACGAGGAAGATGTTAAGCTCCTCTGCGAATGAAGCATCAATGTGGTACCCCGTCAGGCTGCCGTGGTGTATTCAATTGAATATAGGTTGAAAATGTTTGGCAAAAAAATTGTAGTCTGTTTTTATCTACATTTTACACTGCATCCCAACTTCGCAACTTCGATGCAATTGGGGTTTGTAGTTTGTTAACATCAGCACTGCCATAAATCTTCCAAAAGGATGTCCCTTAAAAGGGATGTGCAGTTGTCTTAATACCGGTACACTTTATCTGTTATTATTCATTCAATTGTAGTTGTTTTTTAAGACAGTATTGGTTTTTTTTTGGGGGGGGGGTTAATATACATATAGTCAAATACAGGAATACCTCATTGTAATTCTAAAGGAAGATTGGGTTTATTTGGATTTAATGTGGATATTGCAAGGAATTCTCAACTCAACTGTATTTATAGAGCACTTTCAAACAGCCATCGCTGCATACAAAGTGCTGTATGTGGAGCAACTAACATATATTCAACAATAAAAAAATAAATCAGGAACAAAGATGGTAGAAGGCACCAAACAGTAATACTAAGATCAAATCTGGGTCATGCTGAGTCAAATGCCAAAGAATACAAGTGAGTTTTGAGGCGGGTTTTAAAGATGGGCAGTGAGGGGGCTTGCCAAATGTTCAGTGGGAGGTCATTCCAGAGAGAGGGGCCAGCAACGGAAAAGGCTCAATTCCCTCTGAGCCTCCGTTTAGTTCTTGGTACTTCTAATAATGTCTGGTCCGCAGACCTGAGGCGCCGGGCAGGTGTGTAGGGGCGGATGAGCTCAGAGAGGTAAGTTGGCGCAAGGTCATTTAAAGATTTGAAAACAAATAAATAGGATCTTGAAAAGAACTCTAAAATGTATAGGGAGCCAGTGAAGGGATGCCAGAGTAGGAATTATGTGCTCCCTCTTACGAGTACCAGTCAAGAGGCAAGATGCTTCATGGAGGACTGTCTGACTCCAAAGTAAAGTGCATTGCAGTAATCGAGCCGGGATGTGACGAAGGCATGAATTACTGTCTCAAGGTGCTCATGAGAAAGGAGAGGTTTTACCTTAGCCAGCTGTCTAAGATGAAAGAAGCTGGATTTAACAATGGCACCTACTTGCCGGTCAAGTTTAAAATCACTGTCCAGTTTAAGACCCAAATTTGAGACTGTTAACTTAAGATAAGGAGACGGGGGGCCAAGTCTACAGGATAGGATGTACAAGGGCCACTGGGACCAAACAGAATCACCCCTGTCTTCTTTTCATTGAAATTCAAGACATTTTGTGCCATCCAGGTTTTGATTTCTTCCAGGCAGGATAAAAGTGGCCTTAATGAGAAAGCGTCTTTTTTGCTCAGTGGGACATAGATCTGACAGTCATCTGCATATCAGTGGAAGGAAATACCATGTGTCCTTAAGATGGAACCCAATGGGAGCAGGTAAAGTGAGAACAGCAGAGGCCCCAGAATTAAGCCCTGTGGAATATCACATGACAGAGGAGCAGTACGTGACTCAGAGCAGCCAAGGCTGACACAAAAGGTTCTCTGTCAGCTAAATAGGACCTAAACCACTCAAGAGCGCTACCGCCAATGCCCACCAAGTGCTGCAAACGAGTCAACAGAATACTGTGATCCACTGTGTCAAATACTGCAGTTAATTCCAATCAAACAAGACACACGTAGTCTCCAGTGTCATTTGCCAGGAGGATGTCATTAGAAATGCCTAACAGGACAGACTCTGTGCTATGCATCGTCTTGAAACCTGACTGGAAGACCTCCAAGATGTTATGTTCATCCAAGAAAGATTTCAACTGCATGTGCACCACTCAACAACACCAGTTCACCTAGCTTTGTCTTAGCAGCCATTTATGTACACAAAGTACAACAGTGAGAATGTATACAAAAAAAAATATGGATTGCTAACTGGATGTTTGTGTTCTTTTTGTTGACGGGACATTTTAGTTTCACAGATGTACCTTCAGAGTTCGGGCTAGGGCAGGATTACGGAATACTTGTCCCTGTTTGGGAGGATGACCATCAATCAGCAGGTCTCCACCAAGTTCCTTTCCAGCATTTCGCAGCTCAGCCACCCAGTGTGTCCATCCATGAGCTGTGATTTCGGCAACAGGAAACCCCACCTCAGCCAGTTCCACTGCCCCATTGAGCACCTCCCGTAAGGACAGCTAGCGGAAGCAGCAACAGGAAACACATGCGTATTACGTCACTGGAAATAAGACAGGAAGTATGAGTCATTGTTTTGAGAAGAAATATGCCATGGAGAGTTACAATATTGTCTGTGCAGAAGATAAATCTATTTTTATGATAGTATTGTGTGTGTGTGTGTGTGTGTGTGTGTGTGTGTGTGTGTGTGTGTGTGTGCGCGCGCGCACGTGTGGATTCTGTGATTCACACTTTTGTGATTCATCAGAAACATGGCAAAAACCTGTTTGAATTACTTTGCACATTAACGAGACAGTAGCCCATGTGTTACAATTTCTACAATTTTTGTCGATTTTTGCGTCTTGCGCACAATACCGCTTTTATTGTCCATAGAGGGCAAAAATACAAAGAAAAAAATAAGAACTATATGTGTATGTATAGCACTGATGCCACTGAACATGTCGAGTGGTTGAAAGTAAAATAAATATTCAGGAATAATACTTTTACAATTTTTGTAAAATTGTATGTTGCGTTATATAAACTTATTTACATCGACTGCAGCATATGGGTTAACTGTGATGATCCTCCTGAAGCTACTGACATGCCCTCATCTGCTTTCAGACTATTCAAATGTGCTCCATATCACTGCCATCAGAATTTGCTGCGAAGCAAATGTAAGACAGAGAAGAGACAAACCGTTTGCGAAGATGTGCGTACAAAATATCACAGAACTATAAAGTACAGTCTGGATGGGTTCATCATCAAAAATACTCCTTTTGTTCAAGTCACTGCAGTGGGGGCCATAAATAAATAAATACATTGGAAAGTAAACATTGCTTTTAAATGCATATTTTTAGGGTAGTTGAAATGAAGAACATGTTTCACACCTTAAATAAACACGTATGTGGAATATTGTGGCCCAGCCTTTAAAATTGAGATGGACTACAGTGTATCAACTTGTTACCATTGCAACTACAACAGTTATGATGTACAGCAGAGTACCCCAATTAGTTCTCAGTGAGGCCCAAATTGTGTCAAGTTTGTCAAGTTGTGGGCCAAATTGTCTGGGAGTTGTTGTTTGTTTTTTTGTTTTTTTTTTTTCATTTGACTGGCAAATAATGTTTTATGTGCATATGTTATTGTTGTTGTGGTATTATTGTTATTATCAGATACCATACGGTAGTAGTTATAGCCTGTGTTGAGGGAGAGAGGAGGAAAAAATTGCAGAGTTGAAAAAAAATAAGTCCAACAATTATGGATTTTTCAATGCCCCTTTTGAATATTTTGGTCAACAGATCAATGAATTTAGCAATGAAACACAACCACAGAAAGTGGCACACAAGAGGGGGGAAAAAAGGGTGTACTCAGGTACACGTAATGTAACTGATACATTTTCTACACAAAACCTGGAATATTCATGCTTATCAATATCAGTCACATTGTTGCTGATTGTTAAGCAGTTTAACCCCCAATTGTAAGTATAAACAATTCAAGCAATAAACTATCAAAAACCAGAATGAGTGTGAAAATGTCAAAATGACTTTGAGCATTCCACACACACAGCTGTCAGCAGCATTTCTACCACACACCATACACGATATATAGTACGCTAATAAAGACCAAATAAATTACATACAGGTCGCTGATGGTAATGATAGTGGTACACACGCCTGACTTGTGTGCGGGTGGCAATGGGATCGGTTCCCACTCGTTGATGGTGTGAATGTGGGTGTGAATGGGTGTCGCTATATGTGCCCTGCGACCAGTTCAGATTATAGTTTGTCTTCCGGCCAAAGTCAGCTGGGATCGGCTCTAGCAACTCCCAGCGACACTCTTCAGGATAAGCGGCGTTGAAAATGGAAGGATGGATACATTAAATACAATACAATATATATTTACAAAGTGTTTGCTGTGTTTTCTGTCTCATGAATGTTTAATGTGCATCATTTTGGAATGGGGACATACTCCAAAACACACCCAATTAAGATATGCTAGCTTCAAGACCCTGCTTGTTGTTGTGAGAGAAATGTAAAGGGGACAAATTAAGTATATGATTGCATTTACCTTCGACCCACATGCAAATAGCACAGACAACTATTTCACGAAGGCGATGATACAACATGCTTACGAAAAAAAATTAATTTTCTCATCTTAGATTCTTATAATATGGTGTTGAAATGGTAAAACTGTTAGTGAACTGAGACAGGATAGTAAAACATTTACTAGCCCACTGCTTGCTCCTCCCTAATTAAACACCATTAGTCAGGATCACTTTGACAGCTTGCACGTTACTTTGTAAATGTTATTTAAAATTAATAGGTCTTCCCAGTGAATGATGGTGACCACTTTCCAATCCATTCCCACTGAGTCACTTTTCAACTGTCTGCGTTAAGGTAGCCTGTCATTTGTTTCAATGGCTAACCCTTTCCCAGCCATGAGTAGCTTGCTCGCGACTTGTCAACGTAACAATGAGCTAACGCTAGCTCCCATGGCCCAATGACAGGAATGATCAAATAGTTTGCTTACTATATTGTGGCTACGACAGTGGGAGTGGAGACAAGGTCACCAGTGGAGATATTTGTGACATTTTATACACTTGTTTTCCCCAAGACCGGGTATGACAAAAGTGTCACTTTGTCAGTACGGGGGAGGTTTCGCAGGCCGGATGCTTTGCTCTCTGCTAATTGGGGATGTCTAATGTACAGTAATCTGATGTACTCTTGCTGAAAAAAGAAGTCGCTTGCTTTTGAGGTTCCAATTCTCTCGTCCCATATTCCTGTCATGAATGTTTTCAGGCTTTTCAACCAGATCAAGCAAATATTCACAGGCCCGATGTCAGTGAATAGACACTTTGTATCTTCTCCCTTCAAATTTAGTCCACAGTTAACTTGAAAGTGTGTTTGTGAGAGTTGGTGAGGTATTTTGTTTTTGTTGGAATGTAAATTATGATGTCAAATGAATTGGATTAATCAGGTGATTTAATCAGGTGATGCAATAGACATAAAGAACCACATAAAGTCAAACCTTGTGACTACCAAACATCTGAATGGTATCACACCAGCATGCAGGTGCCCCGGGCACTGTAACATTCAGAGCATCAAACACTGGAGGAGGGGTCTCAGCGCAGTACTTGCGACCTTTAAGGAATTCCAGAGTCAAACCTTTGGGAGAACGACCACTGTAAAAATTAAAAAAAGAGGAGTTTGCTATTCGTCCATATGATGAAGACAAAACAAAAACATAGAGCAAATTGCTGGCCTGCCGTTTATTCCTCTGATCTCGCCGGTGTCGCTGTTAAAGAACAGGCAGAAGGCATCTCCACCGGGGCCGGTGCTGCATGGCTCTGTAACTGCCAGAGCTGCTGCTATGGCGACCGCAGCATCTGCAGCATTGCCACCACGCTTCAGAACATCTGGATACATAGACAAGCCAATACTTGGAGATAAATTGCTGCACGCCCAGGAACCTTTATCACTGCTAGTCTGCTATCATATTAAATTTACAAATTTATCAAGGACCGTTGTATAATGGTGCCGTATGACAAGTGAAGTATTTTTAAATGCTGAGATGAAGTGCAATGCAGCAGCTTTACAAAATTTTATACGAGGCTAGGCTTTTATTGAGATATTCTCAAACGTTCAGCCCGGCCGTATTCTGTCATCCCTTCATTGGCGCCCTGTTAAATTTAAGATAACGTACAACATTTTAGATGGAGTAACCTCACACTACACATCACGATGTTAGATTCTTCCTTGAGACCTTGCCAAACAGGTGGACTAGATGGAAGGGTTTTGTTGAATATCTCTTTTTTGGGAGGGCGGCGGGATACCTAAAAGACAAAGTCGACACAATGAGACCTGGAACAGTCAACAGGGAACAATTAAACGTGAATTACATCACTTCGCGGTGTTGGCAGAGAGAGAGAGAGAGAGAGAGAGAGAGAGAGAGAGAGAGAGAGAGAGAGAGAGAGAGAGAGAGAGAGAGAGAGAGAGAGAGAGACAGACAGAGAGAGAGACAGAGAGAGAGAGAGAGACAGAGAGAGAGAGAGAGAGAGAGAGAGAGAGAGAGAGATCTTATGTTAAATGTTCTGTAAAGCACTTTGTCACAGCTGCAACTTGATGAAAAGCATCTCTCATTTCACTTTTTACTTCACATATTTTGTTTTATAAAATATCAAATATTGAAGCCATTTTTATTTAAAATGATCATTATTACAGACTTTACTTTCATTGCTTTTGGGACAATTGAAGTCAATTTGGGCAGATTCAAAACATAAAATGGGGGATAAAATCTTTAATCCTTAACAAATTCTTACATACTTGGACTCCTTTTATCCGTGTCAAAAATCTCTATTCAGTGATATCCTCTATTTTGATATATAGATGGTTTGATTTTTTTTCCTAACATATCCATATGAGGTAACGTATTATGACCTCGGGTTTTGGATAGGTGTGATACTATTTTCGCCACCATGTGAATGTCCGACGTTGCTCACCGTGGTGCAAGGAAGGCTCATGGACTTTGTATGAAAGCTCAGATGCATTTAGGAGCATTGCACTCAGAATCCACTTCTAAATGTATGGATATAAACTAGCTCCACAAGTACAAATCTGTCTGAGTCAGATTTTTGTGGGCAAAAGTCAAGTGTACGTAACAGCAACAGCACTTGTGACGCCTAGATGTGACTTCTTCAACTACAATTTGTCAACTACAGGAAGAAATTATTTTCGCCATTAAGTACACATTTAATTTTGCTTCGACTAAAAAAAAAAAAAAAATTCCACACCTGTATGTCATTTTTGCTAGAAGTAGAAATTTTCACAAATATAAACAATTTTTCTAAGTGACCCCAAACTTTTGCACGGTAGTGTAAATGAACTATGCAGTGAGGCATGTCTTTCCCTGGCTTCTATAATTTGATTTGTGTTTGCACTAAGCACATACTTGTTTGTTGTAGTACTTTTTAGTTTTTGTTGCTAACGTAATGGAAAAAAAAAACATACTGATCAGTTTGTTCAGGTGTGATTTTTTTTTTTTGCATACAGGCTTGGTCTTGACTCTGTCTCAACACTCCCTAGTCACGATATCTTGGTCTTGGGTGGTATGTTTTTTGCCTCAGTTTTGACATTGTCTGCAAAAAGCAGAGATGCAATACTGAGGCCATCAAACCGAACCCCTTTAACACCTCGACTGTGTCGAGAAATTCACTCCATGAAGGTTGTGAACAGAAACTGTGACAAAGAGCAGGCTTGGCGGAGTCCAACCCTCACTGGAAACGATTCTGACTTACTGCTGGCAATGCGAGTCAAACTCTGACATCGGTGGTTTAGGGACCGAACAGCCCGTATCAGGGGGTTTGGTACCCCATACTCACAGAGGACCCTCCACAAAACTCCCTGAGGGATACAGTCGAACGCCTTCTCCAAGTACACGAAGCACATGAAAACTGAATGGGCGAGCTCTCATGTACACTCGAGGACCCTGATAAACGTGTACAGCTGGTCCACCACCTTTTCCAGCTACTCCCTTCAGGCATGCGCTACCGATCCATGCGCACCAAATCCAGCAGACATTCAAACAGCTTCTTCCCTCAAGCCATTAACTCTCTAAACAGTAACCCAACTCTAGAGTAGCTCTTAGCAAGTTTGCACACCCCTATGGAACATTATTACCGCAATAATCATTGTAGCTCCAGCTCTGTACAGCTCTGTACATACTGGAACAATTGTCACTGATCTATATTCCACAGCACCAGACACTTTCGGTGCAATTGCACACTTAAAAGTTGTTCTATAAATACTACTACTGGTCACTTGAAAATGGTGCAACGATTAACTGCACCAATGGCACAACTGTCAATAATTTTGTATTCTACCACTGATGACTTTAGCTCTGCTTGATAACGCTGCACATTGTCTCACAGTTGTCATTGGGTGGAGTACTTCACAACGGTAGCCTTACATTACGGGAAGTCTTTCGATACTTACGAGTCATGCCCTTGTCTATCGTAGTTGCTTGTTATTGATAATACTAGTGTATCCTGTAATACCAGAGACAAATTCCTTGTATGTTCTACATACTTGGCCAAAAAAGATGATTCTGATTCTGATTCTGAATCTGACACCCGACGGACCCTCCTCTCCAGCACCCCTGATTAGACCTTACCAGGGCAGCTGAGGAGTGTGATCCCTCTGTAGCCGGAAAACACCCTCTGGCCCCCCTTTTTAAAAAGGGGGACCACCACCCGGGTCTGCCAATACAGAGGTACTCTCCCCCAATGACCACGCGATGTTGCAGAGGCGTGTCAACGAGGACAGCCCCAAAACATCCAGAGCCGTGAGGAACTCCCGGCGGATCTCATCCACTACCGGGGCTTTTGCCACAGAGGAGCTTTTTAACCACATCGGTCACTTCAACCTCAGAGCTTAAAAGCGACCCCATGTTAGTTATTGCTGTCTTGTCTATGTTCCTCTGAACGAGTTGTAACTGGGAAGTCAATTTCTTGTGTTTCTTGCATAATTGGCCAATATAATTTTTTTCTGATATAAAAGAGTCCACCTCAGAGTATTCAGACTCTGCTTCCTCTTCGGAAGGCATGTTGGTGCAGTTGAGGAGGTCTTCGAAGTATTTTGCCCACCGACTCACAATGCCCCAAGTTGAGGTCAGCAGTGCCGTATCTGTACTGTACACAGTGTTAATGGTGCACTGTTTCCCCCTTCTAAGACGTCGGATGGTGGACCCAGTTCACTTTGTACCTGACCCCTTTGGCCCCTCCCATAGGTGGTGAGCCCGTGGGAAGGGAGATCCACGTTACCTCTTCGGGCTAAGCCCAGCCGGGCGCCATGGGTGTAGGCCCAGCCACCAGGCGCTCACCAGAGGGCTCCAGAGGGGGGATCCAGTGACCATGATCATTATTCATTATAAGGGGTCTTTTAGGCCGTCCTTTGTTCGGTCCCTCACCTAGGACCTATTTGCCACGGATGACCCTGCCAGAGCACAAAGCCCCACACAATTTAGCCCCTAGGATCATTGGGACATACAAACCTCTGCACCACGGTAAGGTGAAGGCTCACAGAGTGGGATCGACAGATTGATCGGCGGGATCGGTGCAGTGTCTGCCGTGATGCAGCCTTTGTATCAGTCTATCGTGGTGAAGAATGAGCTGAGCCAAAAGGCGAAGCTCTCAATTTACCGGTCAATCTATGTCCCTACCCCCACCTATGGTCACGAGCTATGGGTCGTAACCGAAAGACCGAGATCCCGGATACAAGTGGACAAAATGGTTGTACTCCGCAGGGTGTTCGAACTCTCCCTGAAAGATAAGGTGATAAGCTTGTTCATCTAGGAGGGGCTCAGATTCAAGCCGCTTCTCCTCCACATTGAGAAGAGCCGGATGAGGTGGCTCATTAGGATGCCTCCTGAATGCCTACAGAGTGAGGCGTTCCAAGGATGTCCCACCAGCAGGAGGCCCCTGGGACGACCCACGACACGCTGGAGAGACTCCTAGCTGGCCTGGGAATGCCTTGGGATCGGGAATAGCTGGAAGAAGTCTGGGCTTACCTGCTAAAGCTGTTGCGCCCGTGACCCGACCCTGGATAAGTGGTAGAAAATGAATGGATGAATGACTAAACGAAGAACGGCTCATTCCAGTTCAATGGAGACCAGAACACTGTCTCCTAGTGGATGGAGGAGGGATGGCCTGACTTTTACACTCGCCTGACTTGTGTGAGAGCAGCGTGGGTTCGGTTCTCACTCGGTGACGATGTGGATATGGCTGTGAATGGTTATTTGTCTCTATATGTGCCTTGCGACTGGCTGGCGACCAGTTCACGGTGTAGTTTGCTTTCCGCCCGAAGTCAGCTGGGATACTTTCCTGCAAATCCTTGTGACCCTCTTCAGGATAAGCGGTGTTGTAAATGGATGGATGAAGTAATGATTAATGCAACATTTACAAACAGATGAGTAAATCCTGTATATATTTGTGGATCTAAAAAAACATGTGAAATCGCACATATATTTATGGATCTCAGAAACACATCATGAATATTTTTGTGTCAATAATTTTCAGACAAATCTCTCCCATACGGACGAATTTCTCACAAACGTGTGCTCTCCCAATATCTTGCGCTCTCACCACCTCTTCCGCGCGAGTCGCGTGATGCATTCAATAACACTCGGAAATAGCACTGATCAACAAAAACAACGTGTTCCCACCACCAACAACAACAACAACGACAACACTCATAACCTGATTCGTCACCATAAATTGGTGTAAATCTAATTAATTCCTCTTTTGTTGTGGCTCAACAGTTAAATAACCGATAACAGATTGGATGGTTTAGTTACAGAATTTCCAAATTGTGTTGTGCTTTTCTTTCCTAAATGTGGGATTAAAAGTGCGCTACAATGTACAAAACAGTAACAGTTATCTTGTCTACCAGAGACAAAATTCATGTTAACTTTGGTTTTATTGTTTCTAGTTTTCAGTTGCTGCAATTTCTTGACAAAAGAATTGTGCTTACTTTCCTAAATACATCCCCGGATACACGTACACCCACATGGGGAAAAACTCGTCGGGATAAGGGGAAGCCTCTTTGCTGTCGAGTAAAAGCTTTGCAGACTCACCCAGACCTGTGGCAGAAGCGAGGGGCTGGCTGGAAGCCACGCAGCCGTGTAAACATATCACAGGCGACCGACGAGAAGAGAAATTCAAATCGGCGTCCATGCCAACGTGTCCTCAAACAACTTTGCGAAGCAATTAAATGGTGTTGAGCAGGAATGCAAAGGAACAAAGGTTAATGTGGTGTCGAGCTGAGTCAATCGGTGAGCGTTCGCTTTTTCCTCAGCCACGAGGCGGTCGACTGTGGATTACATCGATGGGTGGAAGCTGTTTTGATGTTGAGCAGGAATACAAAGGAACAAAGTTAATGTGGTGTCGAGCTGAGTCAATCGGTTTATCGGTGAGCGTTCGCTTTTTCCTCAGCCACGAGGCGGTCGACTGTGGATTACATCGATGGGTGGAAGCTGTTTTGAAATGAAGTGAAACTTCTAACCAATCACAGTAGAGTTGAAAGTGCCACCTTACAATTTATTTTTGTTTGTACTTTAGTCTTTAATTATACTGTATTAAAATCTATATGATGTATTTTTTAATTGTAATTTCTTGTTTTTGATTAATTATTTTCATCTTGCAGCGGGTCTCTTTTTGGACACATTGAAAACTGTAACGTTATTAAACCATAATCCGATCAGGAAAGCAGTATCATATTACAAATATTATTTTTATAACGAATTATAAATTGCACGCAGGCAGCCCGCCCAGTCCAGTGTATAGGTAGTGCTTCCGTCTCATGTTTCAGGTTGGTGGTTTGAATCCAGTCTGACTTTGCAGAGTTTGCATGTTCTCCCCATGTTTGTGTGGGTATTCATCAGGTGTTCCATTTTACTCCCCCATCCTAAAGAAAGCCATGCTTCTTTAGGTTAATTGAAGACCCTAACTTCTGCATACCTGTGACTGTGTGTATGAACAGTTGTCTGGCAACCAGTCCAGGGTGCATCTCGCCTGGGATAGGCGGTAGCTCACTTGAGAATCTACTAATAATGGTACAGAAAATGGATGGATGGTTACATGCAATCTGCCTCTGCGGCTCTTCTATACAGACACACACACACACGCACGCACGCACGCACGCACGCACGCACGCACAAACATGTCAACTAAAGACAAGATCTATGGACTAAGTAAAATGAGTGCAAGAGTGTCAGTATCAGTGGCGGACCCTGAGGGCCAGCAAGGCCTTCTCTGCTGGCCTAAACATTCTCAGAAAAGTAAATTTACTTTTATGTATTTTATGTTATTTTATAATTTATGTTATTTTATTTTCATAAATATGTAAACAAAATTATTCTCTGTATTATTTACATTATATTATTTCCACTTAGTTGAGTGGCTTTCAGTGTTATTTTAAATAACATTGAAAGCCACTCGATAAATAACTTATTTATTATGGTAGAGTTTTCACCAATCATATTTCAGCTAGCTGTATTGCCAGGTAAATTAAATTTGCTCGGGGCCTTCAGATTAAACAGAGCAGGCCCCTGTGCGCTGTAAGTGAACGGGCACAGTCAGGTTTCAATAGCCCATCAGATCACGAGTCTAGACTCGTGATCTGTATCCTGTATCCTGACTTGTTCTCGTCTGCGTACTAGGGCTAGCGAGAAGGTCTTACGTCGAGACTGGCCGTGCGCGTTCGGTGATTGGATTAGCGCCTTTTCTGTTTCCTGAGAATTGT